CAGTCTGCAGATCTGTTGCTTCTCTTTTAACATGTGGTTGTAACTATCCATTTATTTCAATTCTTACTGACATAAAATTCAACTTCTTGTGGCCAAGCTATTGTGAGTCTCAGTCTCCTAATTGGTATAATCAGCATTATTTGGGGGGAAAAAAGGAATTTTCTTTCCAGGTCTCTATGCAATGACCCTTTCCTGCAAGTCTCCCTTTCTAGTTTTTTCAGCTGTAATAGCCCAGCAGGCCACACTGATGCCACTCTTTCTGCTCCATTATCACTTCTTCCTCTTATCCTCCATGATGGCACTAGTCAACTCTGATCACTCTTTCCACTGAAAACCTGTGGCACTTAAAACAAAACCCCTCATTTGATAATAACCCAATTTAAATACCATAATTAAAGGCACATTGCCTGAAATAAAATAGTGAGCTGGAAAATATCAGTTTTCTTTATTTTCTCTTACTAAATGCTGCAATTTACTTAATTCATGATTGTATTACTATTTCCCCTCTTTTGAGGACAATGTAATCCATGTTATATATTTCCTTGCAATTATCAAGTGTACTCACAAACATGCTCCCTAAATATAAGACAGAAAAGAGCATATTTGCTGAATGTCCAAAGAAAGTAGAAAATGTGTTTAACTATATATATTAAGGTTAAAAGTATTTTAATAGTCAAAAGGTGAAACAATGCAATATTTTCTGATTTCTTTCCAACTTTTTGATTAAAAGCATAAAGTCCTAACATTAAAAATAATTACTACCTTTAAAGGAATATTTCTCATTTAAAGAAGCAATTACAGTAGGAAAAAAAATCCCCAACTCATTCCAGGGAATTAAACCAAGAAAAAATTGACATCACTTAAGATTTGGAAAGATACCTATATAGATGTACAAACTGCAATTGTGCAGAAATTTGTTCATTCCTTTTTCTTTAAGGGGATAAACGGCTAAACTAATCTGATTTTTCCAGATTTGCAAATTTTATAATGGATTGAAATCCTGAGGGAACTAACAACAGATGGATGATTGTATTATTCTAATTTCAGCTACGTTAGGGTTTAAGCAAGCTGTCATTTTTAAAAAGACAATCAATTTCTCATTTCAAGAAACATGAAAAAAAACAATGAATATATCTATCCAGCATTTGCTTTGAAACATCTTTTATATCAAAACATGGTTTTTATTTATTTAAAGTAAATAGAGTGAAATTTTATAATAGGAAACCATTGATTCACTAGCCAAAACAATAAATGATGAAGGGTAAGGATATCTAAAGCTATGGGAAGAAAATGATGTTAGCAATAAGCTTACCCTATCATAATATATACTGTACAATCAAAAATTAAGAAGCTACCTTATTTTTGGCTGTACTCTAAAACTCCAGTGGACAGCTGTTCAGCAGGAGCCTTTAAAGAATTTAAATTCACATTTGGAGTTTATCTGCCTCGATCATACATCCAAAAAAGCCATCTGAAATCTCCCTCAGCATAATTGAGAAATTTAATACAGGGCAATGAATGTATACATATTGAGCAATTAGTCTGGTTAAGTATTAGATGATTTATAAAACACATCTACAGAAAATGTGACCCAACAATGTGCCAAGGATAGCTGCAGAAATTGGAGATTATACTGAAGACTAGGGAATGGCCCGCAAATCTCCATAATTACCATTTCTTGTTTCCTCTCTTAGTCACAGACATGACCATTAATCCCTGTATGTTTTCACATACATTTCCAGGCTTATTCATAAAGTTATCATTTTCTTCACAAATGGTCTTCTGCAAAATTCTCTTCACAATTTGTTTTCTTTCCTCTGTACTTCAATTGCCTGATTTTAAATGTGATGATTATGCCTACTGCAAAGTGTAGTTATTCATAGGGTTGAATAAAGAACACACATCAAGTACCTCAACATACTACTTAGCTCATAAGAGGTGCTCAATATGTATCAATTCCCTTCATCTACCTAAATTTCTGTTTAATACTACCTTATATTTTCCTCTCATTTCTTTGTTCTCATTTTCTTATGTTCTATTTCACCCCTTTGCCAAACCTGCATTAAAGGTTACTGTGTAAATAATTAGGTGTATGTTCATATGTGTATATGCAATTACCAATATATTTAGAATTGTTATACAGATGTATTTGTGTGAATACAGATAATTATGTTACAGTATATGTATTTAATAAAAATATATCAAATACTATATTAAAGATACAAAGGAGTTTGAGACCTAATGGGATAATTGAAACTAGCCACATACAACAAATATCAAAATAGTAGTTTAAAGTGAATATAATAATGAGCACAGAGGAGGAACATCTACTTAGTAAGAGGGAAGGGAACATTGTAGCTGCAACTTTACAGTTGAGTTGGACATTATCCTATGGGTGTCATGGGAAGAGGAAAGCTCATTCAGGAGGAAGACGCAGAACAAAGGTTCAGTGACATGAATGCACGGGAGGTCTTTGATAGTGGTAATAGAGTCAGAGGGATAGGCTGGCCCAGACTGGAAGCAAATATTTTTAAGTAAATATGATGTACAGTGTCTAACTTGAATAAATAAATGATAATTTCTCCAGCAAACAGAGGAGTCATGCCACCGTAATGAGGAAGAGGAGCAATATCTCTTGATTATCTATTAATCATGAGTCTTTGCTACATCTCTGCTATGTTCACTATCTCTTTGTTTACCAACCCTCCCATTCTGGATATTCACCTTTGGCAGATTTCACTCTACTTCATCCTTTACACAGTCACTAAAATAATCTTCCTAAAGTACAGATGAATCAAGTAAGGCTTCTGCTCAGAAATCTCAAAGGATTTAATCTATTGCCTACTAAAATTAAGACAAACTGATTGACATAATTTATGAAGCCCCCCTCCTTCATTCTTTTAGCCATTCTTTTATTTGTCAAATATTTCTTAATACTGCCATTCTAGTTGCAGAAGATATGATAGATAAGATATGGAAACTACCCTATAGGAGTTTACTGTCACATGAAGAATTAGACATTAAGTCAGAATGTGAGAAAGATATGACAGAGATGCATATTGGCTTTGTATATGAAGCTGATGATTTAGCAATTTATATTTCCAGCTCACATTTTTCCCCTAAATGCTAGATTCAAATATCCAATCCAGTGTAAAAAACATTATCTATTTAAATGTATAACAAGCATTCAAAACATAACATAAAATCAAGCTCTTCAACCCCTCTCTCAAACCTATTTCTCCCCCATATCAGTGTATGATAATCTCATCCTTCCAGTGGTTTGGATCAATAACTTAGAGTCTTTAATTCCTTCCTTTCTCTTACATTCCATAGTCAATCTGTTACTCAATTCTGTTGGCTCTCTAATCAAAATATACCCAGAATCCAAATATTTCTATCTCCCACTGACATCCTCATCCAGACCATTACCATTTTTCACCTGCATCTTCTCAATAGCCTCCTAATCCATCTTCCTGCTTTAGTCCTTTGTCCTCCCTTCAGTCTTTTCTGAACACAGCCACCATGGTGATTTTTGTGTAAATCTGAGCATGTGTTCCTATGTTCAAGATGCTACAGTGACTTTCAAAAGCCCTCTATCATACTTCCCTGTCTGCCTTCAATACCTACAATGCTTCTCCTGTACTTGTGTTCAGACACTCATGTCTCCTTCCTGGTCACTAGCTAGAATTCTCCTCCCCTGAAAATATCTACTTATCTTGCTCCCAACTTCTGCTAGTCTGAACATGATTTAATAATGTAACCTTTGTGCCCAAATAGCACTCTGTAGCCCTCTTCCCTGCTGTGTATTTCTCATTCGCTATCATACTATTTGATATACTGAAACATTTATTTCTTTATTGTCTGTGCTCCCACCAGAAGGCAAGATTTTCTCCTCCTTTCGTTTCCTGCTGTGCTTAAATGCTTAGAAAAATTCTACTAAATACTAGAGAACGATATCCGTTTAATAAACGAGTGTGTATTTGGGTGGGGGAAGGAGAAGTTGGCTGTACTAAGAGTTTAGGGTTCCTGAAAAATAAATAAAAGGCAAGGAGAGAAAGACATGATGCTGGAGAGGAAGAAAAGGGAAGGATAACATAAGGCCTTAGGTTTTATGATAAGAAGCTTAGACTTTATGCAATGGTCAGTGGTGATCTTCCAGGGAATACAGGAATGAATGGTTCAGATTAACACTTCAAAGATCACTCTGAGAGCAGCACAAAGAATACCTTTGAAGAGAAATCAGATTCTAATCAGCAACACCAGGAAAAGAGGCTGTTGTAATACTCGAGGCAAGAAGTAATGGTGGCCTGAACAAAGAAATCAATTAAGTAGATACACTTGAGATCTATTAAGAACACAGAATTAACATGGTTTGGTAATTGGGAAGAAAATGTGGACTTAAATCCACATAAAATGTGGATTTACTCAGTTTCTGGTTTAGGTGGACAGTAGTACTGCCCACCAAAATAGACAATATAGAAAAAGAGTACATATCACTAAGGTCTGATGAGGTGAGGGCCCTGTTTGACATTTCAAGTTTGAGGGCTTCCATAGCACCTCTAGGTGATATTTACCTATCAAGCAGCTGGGAATACCACAATGAAGCTTATAGTTGATCTTTGAATGGAGGATGTGAATCAGAAGTTATCAATATATAAAGTAGGTAAAATCGTACAAACAAATGAGATCACTAGAGGACAGTGAATAGAATCAGAAGAGAAGACACTGCCTTAAAGGAAAATAACTTTTGATGGGTAGATAGGAAAAAAAAGAGCTCAGAAAGGAATTAGAAAGTTATAAGAAAACTCACACATTTGCACAGAAGAGACTGAAAGATATCTAGATTATCCATAACACCAAGTGAGAGATTTTCAAGATGCAAGTTTGCATATTTTTAATGCAAAAAAGATGCATATTTTTAATCTAATTAGCTCTATGAAATATTATCTATTTTTTAGATAATTAAGTACTTTTCAAAATTCAAGATGTTTAAAACGTACCTGTATATTCCACTGAGGGGAAGTAACATTCAGATGGGCTTTCAGAGAGATGAAGCACAAATTTTTCAAGCAATTCTGGTAAAGCTGTAATAAACAAGAGAATAATTAGGATATTAAAGGTTAAGAATATACATGATAATACATCTCTAAAGTCACAGACTAGTAGATAAAAGTCATCTGAACTTCTTCACAGTTACACTCTTAAGGGGGTCCAATTCAAAACACATACCACTTTAATATTCATAACAATGTTTCCAATGTAAATTAAATTTTAATTGCTTCACTGAGAACCTATTCAATGTAAAACTGGAAAAGAATCATGTTATCTTTAGATTCTCTACGGATTACTTCAGAACTTGCTAAATGATTTCGATACAGAAAGAAAATCATCACTAATTAGGCTATAATATCTTATCATTATTCACACATACAAAAAAAAAATTATCTGAACTCCAGGACCACAGTCAAGGGACAGTTCTCCTCTTTCAAAACCAGGACATGTTAGGTGTTTTAGACACTTTGCAACTTTATATATGTTCAAGACAACTGGATCAAAAGTAAGCTTGCCAAGCAACTGGGCAAAGGGTAAGATGCACTGGCAGAAAACAGGAATTTTAGGGCAATGATACTCTTCTGTATGATAAATCTCCCCCATTATACATTTGTTAAAATTCATAAAATGTACATGGCACCTGGGTGGCTCAGTTGTTTAAGCATCTGACTTCCACTCAGGTCATGATCTCATGGTTCATGAGTTTGAGCCTCGCATTAGGTTCATTGCTTTCAGTACAGAGCCCACTTCAGATCTTCTGTCCCCCTCCCCCACCCTTCCCCCACTCACATGCGTGTGCTTTCTCTCTCTCAAAAAATAAACACTAAAAAAAATTCATAGGATGTACAAACACTAGGAATGAACCCTAATATAAACGATGTACTTTGGGAGACAATGATGTGTCAATGTAGGTTCACTGATTGTAACAGGGGTATCACTGTGATGTGAGATATTTATAGTGGGGAAAGTTGTGCATATATGCAGGCATAGAATGTATATGGGAATTCTGTACTTTCTGCTGAATTTTGCTGCGAATCTAAAGTTGCTCTAAAAAATAAAGTTCATATTTAAAAAAATAGGAAGAGGGGCACCTGGGTGGCTCAGTCGGTTGAGCGGCCGACTTCAGCTCAAGTCATGATCTCGCGGTCCGTGAGTTCGAGCCCCGTGTCGGGCTCTGTGCTGACAGCTCAGAGCCTGGAGCCTGTTTCAGATTCTGTGTCTCCCTCTCTCTGACCCTCCCCGTTCATGCTCTGTCTCTCTCTGTCTCAAAAATAAATAAAACGTTAAAAAAATTTAAAAAACAAATAGGAAGAAATGCCTTTCTACTAGTGGAACAGTACAGAACTGAGCAAAAAAAAAAGTTAGCTTTTCTCTGACAATGCCACATAGATATGCCACTGTGTTTGAATTTATTATCCTCAAAAGGTATATAACCAGTTGAATTATACTTAATATAGAATCCAGAATTATTTTGCTGGAAAGAAATGTATCTTTAAAGCAACTTACACGCTTATACATGTATATTTAGCAAGCAAGTTTAAGTCACCTTTAAAAAAAATTTTTTTAATGTTTATATATTTTTGAGAGAGACAGAGACAGAATGCAAGTGGGTTGGGGCAGAAAGAGAGGGAGACACAGAATCTGAGGCATGCTCCAGGCTACGAGCTGTCAGCACAGAGCCCTGACATGGGGCTCGAACTCACGAGCTGTGAGATAATGACCAGAGCCGAAGTCAGTTGCTCAACCAACTGAGCCACCCAGGTGCCCCAAGTCACCTTTTAAACTATGTATTACATTCAGGATATTGACTCTGATTTATATTAATCAAATGGTCTCTTTTTCATATCCAAGTACATTTTAAGCACGTAAGTCACAAAGAAAATTAGTGTTCAACATGTGAAAAATGTAAATCAAATAAGAATAACAACATGTGCTTTCCAATAACTGTAGCTCTGATAAGTCATGTATCACAATATTTTAATGCCTTAAGGTAAAAACAAAATTTACTGAATTCTACTCATATTATGATTTCAAATTAAAGTAAGTATTAAAAAGTATGAGAATGTAATTGTTGAGGATCAGAAAGGGCACCAGTATTGACAATTATTTGAACTTCTAGTTGTTTAAGGGTTCTATCTTCACAGGCATAAGGATAAATTCTCTCACTCACAGAAAAATCTTTCAAAGTTTTTTATCTATGAATCTATACATAAATAATAGCCCTTAGGTGAGAGCTTTCAACCTCCATGTGTTTATGTCACTTAATATTGTCTCTTGAGATTATAATTTTTTAAGAGTATCTTGATGAATGTTAGAAACAATCATTCTGAATTCAATGATACAAATAAGAGGTGAGATACACATGAGTAGCAAAGGTTATATAAAAAGTTAGTTTTAAAGTGGAAATATCCATTTAAAATTATAATCATTCTCATTTTAGCACAATGATATGTTTGCTATGTGTTATGCACCCAAGTAAAATGTTTGAATTAATGAGAAAAGTCACAGCATACTGCTAAACAATTCTTTGAATCCTATGCCCCAAATCAGGGTTAGCCATCAGACAGACACCTAAACAAACTCCATGAACTGGGAAAATTCTTTATCACATCTGTGAGGGAGGTAAACACAATAGGATTTGAAACTTAATAGCCACCAGACTAATTGCAGGTGTTTACAAAGCACACTATTTTCTGGGAAGTACTGATCTTGAAATGCAAAATTATGCTATTAGATCCATACATTGAGAGCTTTTAGATAAAGTAATTCTAGACATCATATGCAAAAATGGCATTACCAAACTATCTGAAGAAGGTTCTGGATTTCTACTGGTTCCAATATAGTATATTCATTTTGCCCAGCAACCCTTATGAACAGCACTAGGCACTTCCAAATATTTTGAGAGATAGGCTATAGTCATGGAATAATACTAAAAACTAATCTACACGTGGTACTTGCCTTTTCAATGTTCTCAAGTAGCTTATATTCATTCTTTCCTCTATATTTTTAAAGAAAATTTACTTTATATAATTATAGATTCAGAAAGTTGTGAGGACAGTACAGAGATAACTTCCTTTATCCCTTCATTTAGAATAGGTCTGCTTTGACAAATTCTTCATCTGAAAATGTCTTGATTTTCTATTCCTGAAGACTATTTTCAGTGCTTGAATGTCACACTACTCCCTCTGTCCTCCATCTTTTCTGGTGAGAAATCAACAGTATTGATTTTCCCCTGTAGGTAAGATGTTGTTTCTTCCGGGGCGCCTGGGTGGCTCGGTCGGTTAAGTGTCCGATTTCATCTCAGGTCATGATTTCATCATTCATGAGTTCGAGCCCCGCGTCCAGCTCTGTGCTGACGACTCAGAGCCTGGAACTTGCTTTGGATTCTGTGTCTCCATCTCTCTCTCTGCCCCTCCCCTGCTCATGCTCTGTCTCTTTCAAAAATAAACAAACGTTGAAAAAAAATTTAAAAAAAGATGTTTCTTCCCTTCTCTGCTTTCAAGATTCTTTTTGTCTTTAGTTTTTATTTTTTAAATTTATTTTAACGTTTATTTTTGAGACAGAGACAGAGCATGAAAGGGGGAGGGGCAGATAGAGAGGGAGACACAAAATCCAAAACAGGCTCCAGGCTGTCAGCACAGAGCCCGACATGGGGCTCGAACTCACGGACCACGAGATCATGACCTGAGCCAAAGTCAGATGCTTTACCGACTGAGCCACCCAGGTGCCCCTTGTCTTTAGTTTTTAAAAGTTTGACTAGGGGCGCCTGGGTGGCGCAGTCGGTTAAGCGTCCGACTTCAGCCAGGTCACGATCTCGCGCTCCGTGAGTTCGAGCCCCGCGTCGGGCTCTGGGCTGATGGCTCAGAGCCTGGAGCCTGTTTCCGATTCTGTGTCTCCCTCTCTCTCTGCCCCTCCCCCGTTCATGCTCTGTCTCTCTCTGTCCCCAAAATAAATAAACGATGAAAAAAAAAAAAAAAAAAGTTTGACTATATTGTGTCTTGGTGTGAGTTTCTTTGGGTTTACCCTGGTTGTGGTTCTTGAATCCACAAGTTTAGGTTTCTTGAAAATTTGGAAAGTTTTTAACTATATTTCTTCAAATACATTTGTAGTCCTAACCTCTTTCCAGGTCTCCAATGACATGTTAGATCTTTTGTTATGGTTCCATAAGTCTCTGGGACTCTGTTAATTTTTTTTTGTTTTTCAGTCTATTTCCTGTTAATACCTTCAAGTTTACCAATCCTTCCTTCTGTCCTTTCCAATTTATTGTTGACCAATCCATTTAGCTTTTTATTTTGGTTACAGCATTTTCATTTCTAAAATGTCCTTTTGGATTTTCTTTATTTCTTTGTTGATACTTTCTAATTTTAAATTTGCATGTGTGAGACAAAAAAACATGTGTGGAAGGGAGGGAAGGAGGGGTGGTGGCCCTGTTACTACTGAGTGATGGTAAAAATCCTGAACTTTCTACCTGAGTCTCCTCTGATACAATCCTAGCAAGGAGCAGCAAGGGTGCCCCATTACTGCCAGGTAAGGACGGAAGTCCAGGCTATGCCCAAGTCTTGCTAGCAGGATTCTCTATGGTGGATTCTATGGTTGGATTAAAGTGGTCATTTTCTATAAAAAGTATCTTGATAGGCTACCCCTCTCCTGCTCCTTTTGGTTAAAGAGAGTATGCTTTTATTGACCCCGCCTTTTGATCCTATGACTTGATGGCCTTCTTAATCACTCTTTCTAGGATATACTAGGCAAAAAGAAAATTCAGTGAATTCACCTCTGAGGTGCCCACAAATATATACCACTTGTCTCTGAAAATGTAATTTCTCCAACAACAAAATATATTTTTCCCACTTTAATTTTATAACAAATGATACAAATATGAAAACCATAAAGCATGGCTAATAAAGTGGACAATTTTATAGTTTACAAAAAAAATCTATCATATGTTTACATTAGAACCTTTTCCTTAGACTTTTATTCAAAATAATGTTCATTTAAAAATGATGATTTTTAGGGGCGCCTGGGTGGCGCAGTCGGTTAAGCGTCCGACTTCAGCCAGGTCACGATCTCGCGGTACATGAGTTCGAGCCCCGCGTCGGGCTCTGGGCTGATGGCTCAGAGCCTGGAGCCTGTTTCCGATTCTGTGTCTCCCTCTCTCTCTCTGCCCCTCCCCTGTTCATGCTCTGTCTCTCTCTGTCCCAAAAATAAATAAACGTTGAAAAAAAAAATTTCTAAAAAAAAATAATAAAAAAAAATGATTTTTAGAAAACAAATGCACAAGTAACTATGTGAATATAAAACAAATTATTTGCTAGTTTAGGAAACATAGCCATCACCTCAAAATAAAATTCCAATTTCCTTAAGAGTAACTACATTTATTTGGCTGGATGTGGCAGAGTTTTAAAATATGTATCAATAAAAAAGTCAATCAAGTTTCCAAAAATGTAGCAGTATGGTAAATTCAGGGGAAAGCTGGTGAAACCAAGCAAATTATTACCTAGGTAAAGTCAGATCAGTATTCAATTTTGCTTACCAAGACCTCTTAGTTTAAAAAAAAGTTTTGTTGTCTCTCAGATTTTAATTTTTTTGATAGTTTATGTGCTGCCTACAATTTTACTGGTATTAGGGAGTAAGGGTCGGTGGGCATCTTCCTCCATGTTCTTTCTGGCCTCCAGCTTCCTTGCATCTCAGATTTTAATTTTTGTTTTCAAGGATCATAAGTTTCTCAGAAGTTAATGGACTTCTGGAATGAGTATTATGTATTCTAGACATGCCAGTACTAATCCACAGGAAACACAACTTCCATTAATATAATTTCATACAAAAAAACCCCCACAAAAATTAACAACGTACTCACCACTTCCACTGATTATATCAGGTTTAGCCTTCATCATTTTGCAAAACTGTTTTCGGCAGTTTTCTATCCACTCAGTTTGTTTGTCAGACATTTTGAAGCATAATAAAAGTTTGCCAAGATCATTGTCTAATAAGAAACATAGCTATATTATGATGAGAAACACTGAAAAATAAGTATTAATGTTAAATATGTAAATAGTTACAAATTCCAGAAAAAGTATAGTATATGGCTTTCAAAAGAAAACATTTTCTGTAATTACATCTTATATGATCAATTGCTATTTATACTTATTAAATGCCCAGAAAAAAATTTAAAAGCTCACAAAATGGACTGACTTATAACCATAATGCTTAAATATTCTTTTTCTTATATGAAAGTGACTCATTACTGAGTATTTGAACAGACATCAAATAACAGATGTAATAAATGTAAGATTTCATTACATATATGGACATGAACATTATACTCTTATTTCATGCACATTGATAAACAATTTTATTAATTCCTTTAAAAGCAAAAAGAAAACATAAGCATAGAAAAATTTTTAGTCAATCATTTATTTCCACTTCTTGCAAAAAATTATACTGAAAACGGATGACGCCAAAATATAACTTCTTTCTAAGCAATTTCATGAATACATGGGAACTTTTATCTAATTTTACTTTTCCATGTTAAATTTAGTTTTATTCCCATGAGATTTTTCCATCTTCCACTTTAATTTCATTCTTATGAGATTTAGCATTACAAAACATCTATTAATAATATATTAAATAAGGACTTTGGCGTCCCTAAGAAAAGGATATACAAATATTTATTCAAACAAACATATATAATATCTTCCCACATATATGTAGGCAAAGATTCAAGGGAAAGAAAAAAGAAGCAAAAATGTTATTTTCTAGAAGATCATGGGGGAATAGGTAGTCACATGAACTCATACCTTTTAACTTTCTTTGAAAGAGATTTTTGGGATCAAAAAGGAAAAAACCACCTTTTGAAAATAAAGGGTCAAAGGCCTGACTGCTCCTGCCCAAAGATGTGTCTGGGACTACTACCAGCACAAGTACATCTGCCTAAGCTCTATTTGGGGTGATAAATCCCACCGGGAAATAACAGTGGTCAATCTAATACCAGAGATAGTTTCAATCAACTCTTCTTTTCAAAAATAAAATAAAATAAAATTATAATAAAACAGGTCCTTATTCTTATAGCTTTAAAAACTTAATCATCCTACCATACCAAACTGTTCTGTTTTTTTCATTCAATATTTGGAAAAATATATTCAATAAATGTGTATGGAGCTCCTACATACAAGATATGTATGTATCTTGGCTACAACAATCAAGACAAACACTTGCCTTCATGAATACCACGTGACATAAACCATATGTTTGTATGCCTGTATATATGTGTGTGTGTGTGTGTGTGTGTGTATAATACTGCAATTAAGACATATCATTCCTATCATCTAAATTGGTTTTATTTACTCCTAAAAAAGCAGATATATATATCACACAGCTCCCATGGTTATGAAATCTAAAATAATATAATTAAATATATAAATCATAATTTATGTAAATATGTCCTTATTTGACATGTAGGTCACAAAAAAAGCCTTTGCATATCAAAGCTACATATTCTTTTATACAAACATATGAGTATACAAGTAAACATACCAAAGATATGCATACTCACACAAATATACACATGAGCTAGAAAGAATTGTTTGTTCAAAGAATGTGTAATTCAGATACTTAGTATAAATATTCTCTTTGAATATTAAGACCAAAATAATCCTGTAACATTTCATAAATAGCCTCAATCAGAAACAATAACTAGAGAAAAATTAAAGTGATTAAATCAAAGTAAAAATGATTCTTTCAAATAAAAACTCTCAAAACCTTTAACCTAAACTCAAGAAATACCAAAGCTGATAATTTTGTTGAAAATTATGTTACTAATAACAACGTTATAATGTTAAATGTATCTTAACATGACTTAGGTAAAATACTTAATGCAACACAGCATTAAAATAAGTTTTTGTAGTTTCCATTTAGAATATCTACATAACTTATTTCCCAAGAACAAACTACCTAGAGTCTAATAGGAATCACTAGTGGCACATGACTGCAAAGACAAATGCAGTTTTTCATCTCTCTTTCCTCCTCTAGGTCTTTTCCATCCTTGTATAATCTGTCTTCTAACTACTATCTCCTTCAAGTAGAAGATGCCCACATAGCTCTTTCATAAATTACCTGCTATTTAACAATCCTATATAATTCTTTCCCTCTTCCCTCCCTCTGTCCATTCCTTCACATTTGCTATTGTTTCACTTTTCATCATCTCATTCTAAGAAAAAAAGCACAAGGCATCATAACTGTAAACAGTGCTGAAGCAGCAGATGTGGTATGCATATGGATCTACCAGTCAGCGGAAGGGCTAAAGGGTCCAGTTTACCTGGAAATTGGAATTTGGGCTGTCAGAGGGGAGGGTGGGTAATGGTTATTGAAGAGGGCACCTGTTGGGATGAGCACTGGGTGTTGTATGGAAACCAATTTGACAATAAATTTCATATTAAAAATAAAGAAACATTAAAAAAAATTAAAAAAAAAAAAAAAGAAATCTGTTAGGACCAAAACCGCTAACATAGGCACCATTACCTGGGTGTGCTGCCACAAGGACTTCCAAATGTCTCCCTCACAATGAACTAACCTATTCAGTCACAGACAATGATTGACAATCAAAGGCCTCCCCTAATTAAAAGGTGTCAATACAACCTAAAGACAGGCTAACTTGAACGTACAGCCTACACAAGAAGGATAATTCAAGATTTTCCAACCCTCTCCCAAGTTCGCCTACCACTCTTCCTATTTTTGTGCAGAGTAAAGTGGGAAGTCCAGAGAGAGGCCAAAGGTGTTACATAAGCAAAGGCTCTTGGACATGGAGAATGAGGCAAGAGGAAATAAATCATAGGAACGGTAGTATAAGGAATACAATAACTCTAAATTAGTGATTATGTGAGTAGAGCAAATATGAATCTGGTGTTGTCCAAAAATTTCTATGTTTATAATAACACAAAAGAATTAAACCCAGAGTTTTGTCTCTGGTCATGATATAGGTACTGGGAATAGACCTGCTGTCCTGCTGTGAACAACATGAAAAATAAAATATAATAAACAACTGTTTTCAAACATTGGCCAATAGGTTGTAGAGGACTGTTTTGCTGGAGAAAAGGGAAACAAATGTGATGAGCTTTATACATTTTTTTAAATTTAAACAAACAAACAAACAAACAAACAAAATGTGGTCAGCTTTACACCTGGGCTTTCTTCTTGAAGGCAATTCCAAGATCACTATGCAGCAAGGGGGATGCCATGGAGGTCTTCCAAAGTGGAAGAGACAGAAGTCAAATTGCAGAGACAGACTGAGGAGACTGAAATTTATAGATTATAGTACTGAAAAGAGCAGAGCCAAAAACTAGAGAGATCTGTGTAAATCTTTGTCAAGCTGATTGCAAAATACTCAGCTCTGCAAATGAAGAGTGAAACCCCACAAAGTTGGGCAAAAAACAGTTGGAAACTTGTAAAATGAACAATTCCCAGAGCATACATGGTCGCTACCAGATGTCCAAGTTCCAGGGTGAAGAGTCCTTAACTACCAGGTAGTAATAGTATTAAGTTAGCAATAAAGGCAATTCTACACTCACCCTAATCAAAAAAATCAAAGCCTTGAAAAGACCAAACTGATCTGTAACTTGACAGCACTCCAAAAAATGTTTAAAGAAAACCAAAATCCCGCATTCAACAGTGTGATATCAATAACGTCTCATATCCAATAAAAAAAAAATCACTAACATGAGAAAAGGGAAAAATGTGGCTCAAACCAGTAGCTAAATCAACTAATAGATGAAAGAACTAAAGTGATATGATTAGCAAAGATTTTAAAGTAGCTATTTTTAAGTATTTAAAGAAAATATGAACAAAATCAAAAGCTTTGCTACAATTTAAACCAATTGTAGTTTATCAGTACTGGAATTCCACTTAGTAAAAACAGACAGCATATGGTACATGTAACAAACTGGATGAATCTCAAAACTACTATGCTGAAAAAAATTAGGCGCAAAAGTATCCTATATAATTCTATTTGTATGAACCACTAGTTATAGGAAAACTAATCCTTGGTAGCTCTTCTCAAATGGACTATGTTTTGTTCTCAGGGAGGTATTTCAGCAGTCTTTAGAGACATTTCTGATTGTCACTGATTGTACAGTGGGGAATACAGAGACAGTTCTACTGGCATCTAGTGGGTAGACCAGGGATGCTGCTAAAAATCCTACAATGCATAGGACCGCACCCTCTGGTAACAAGCAGTTACCCACCCCCAAATATTAAGAGTGCTGAAGGATGAGAAATCCTAATCTACAGTAGTGGGGGGAAAATCAGTAGCTGCCTGAGACTGGGAGTAGAGAGAAGATGACTGCAAGGGACAAAGGGAACTTTTGCAGGGTCATGAAAATGTTACATATTTGATTATGGTGGTGATTATGTGTGCAAAAGTATGTCAAAATTCAAACTATTCTTAAAATGGATGCATTCTGGGGTGCCTAGTTGGTTCAGTCAGTTGAGCAGCCAACTCTAGATTTCAGCTCAGATCATCATCCCAGAGCTGTGGGACAGAGCCCCGTGTTGGGCTCTGTGCTGAGCATGGGGCCTGCTTGAGAGTCTCTCTTTTCCTCTCCCTCTGCCCCTCCCCCGTGTATGCGCATGCGTGCGCGCGCACACACACGCGCTCTCTCAAAAGAAAAAAACAGATGCATTCATTGTATATAAAAAAAATTGAGTATATTTACATACATGTATGTAAATGTTGATATAATTGAAAGTGTCAGTGAGTAAAATCTTCTAAGCATATTAGTTTCACTAAAATATGAGCAATTATAGTTCCTAATTTGATATAAAGTCTGTATTAGAACTCAATATTTCATAAGAAAGCATGTGCATATTATCAATTACATAGTTTTTAAAAAGAGGAAGATTATTACAAAATTACATGATCTTTGGGGGCAGTGAGGGAATTTTTCTTTCTCTGAAGAGCACTGTACAATTATATTTTTATGAAAAATAAGA